AAATTTTTCGAAATTTGACACCGTGCGTCATTTCGCAGTTAGACAATCCTATACATATTCAGAACGCGCTGTTACGATATTAGATCGTATTTAGCACATAGTTCACGTCACGTATACTGTAGAATCGCAAATATAAAAGCGCGTTCTGAATTCTGGACAAAAATTATATTCTTTTCAAAAATTATAAACCGATTAGAATAAATAAATGAAGATTATCCAAGAAATTGTATAAAAGAAAAATCGAACTTGTAAAATAATATGCAATTATAATAAATTGTGGATCATTTAAACACTGTGTGCAAATATAGAAATATATTTATTATTTAAAGTTTTATAGCAAAATTTTAAATCAAAATATTAATAAGTATATACAACTTCACTGAATTTTATTTTATTGTTATGTATTAAATATATTATAATAATTATGTTCATCTGTGTATGAAATGAAAGACGTTTATTATATATAGATTTTTTATGTATTAATGTGTATACGTGGCATTGGAAAATGGTCTCATCACGATGTAGTCGTAATTTCCATAATCCGAAAATAGATGCACTGGAAGATAGTATACGATAAAAGGCCGAGCTCTCTGAGCTTTCTTAAGAATATTCTTGATTTAAGATTATCTTTGTATCTTTCTTTTTCTTTCTTTTGCGACGCGACGCGACGCATGACGCGCTGAAAATCCTTTACAGTGTCTTCTCTGCTTACACTAAGCGTGTTCAGATTACCACTTGGGTCATCTTGGTGCTCCCAGGTATCATGTCATCCTTGTTTAATATACGATAAACAACAAGGATGAAATGATACTTGGATGACACTCGAGTGGGGATCTGAACTCAGTACATGATCAGCAATGGATGGCAACACTGCTGATCGGCTGAAAGTGTATGATCACGTATGGTGAAATAATTTGTAACACGTGGGATATAAGACTTGTCGAAAGAATAGAAATTATAAACGTACGCGTGTACAGCAATTGCCGGAAGGAGTTATTCTGTGTGAAGTGAAAATCATATATATTCGTAGTAAGTAGCTTGGTCTAATTTATTTTAACGTGCGCTTAACCTTATTCCTCTTGCCGCTCCACATGCTACCCCGCGTTTACACGTGCTTTTACTTATATCGACGAAAGCTTCTTGATTGCAAGTTGAATTTGGAGCAGCGCTTTATGAAATAGATCTATCATTAATTAGACCTTAATAGAATCCTTAGAATTCTGATAAATTGTCTGTTTAATAGATGTCTGTGGTATCCTCAAGAATCAGCAGTGTGTCATCTATGTTGAAAAACAGCGGAGTTAGAGCGCAGTTTATTACACAACCTGACAAAATATGCACACTCCCGAAAGATGTTAAAAATATATTACATAATTACAAGGGTAATAGAAAAAAAGAATACGAAAAGTTGGTACATTCGATTAAAAATGATATTATAAAGGTAAAACAGACAAAAGACGCAGAGAAAATTTGTCAGTCTTTTACAACGCTTTATATATATATATATATATATATATATATATATATATCATATAGTTTATACATTAATTGTGTATTATGATGTAAGATACTTTCTTTAAATATTCTTTTTGTTTCTTTTTTCTTTTCAGGATAACAATTTAATAGAATTTATAACTGAAATAATGCAGTATATATCCTTATTAGATATTGAACGCAAATTGTTTGTTGAAGCACTTCTTCAAATTAACTGGACAAATAGATCATCACAAGTGATTTTGACGTATAAAATCTTTTTGCAAAATTTAGCATGTGTGCAGACATTTCACACAAATATTATAATAAATTGTCTCGTCGAATTATTTAAACCAAGTAAATTTTATATTTATTACTAGTTTATAATGATATTTCATTGATAAATAATATAACATTTATTATAACTTATTTTTATAACAGAAAATAATGTTGGACATGAAATTGGACAATTTAAAGATGAAGATATGGAAAGATTAAATCACATACATGATATATTACGTGAAATTTTGAGAGTAGTACCAATGTAAGATATGGAAAAGTGATTATAAATTATTAATTTTTGTCATCATTAACATATACATATATGTATACATGTTATAATTTTTTTAGGTCAAGTAAGGATTTACTTGAAGCCCTCGATTCAAATTTTCCATTCTATCTTGTACATGGTACTTATATACATGAAATTTATCTCTATGCATTATTAGAAATTCTAAATTATGCACCTCAGCTAAGAAGAAATATTTTAATCCTTATTATTAGAAAGTAAGTTTTTTTTATTGACAAAACTATTACTCAGTAAATGAAATTTTCGACTTTACTATATAATTAATTAAATATAGAAACAGATTATAATTTACCTCATTCTTTTACTGACAACTTTTAACTAATCAATCTCTTATAAAATTTTAAAGCTTACATGAGATGAACGATTGATTTGAACTTGGAATCTACTGTCCTTATACAAAATTATTTTTTATTCTCTTTACTAGTAAGAGAATAAATAATATATCTGTATTTTAGATTAGTGACGTTGGATGCCAATGTACCTTGTGAAGAAGTAAACAATGATGAAGACATGATAGAACATGATTGTATCAATAATGGAACAGGTGATAATGACAACTTGACCAAAGTTAACAGTGACACAGACAAAAGTAGGACTCATCCAACTGCACATATACTAGACTCGTGCCTGGAATTATTTTTTAAATATATGCACGAGTTTTGTTTTATGAATGGCGTACTGCAGATGAAGAATCTGGAGATAATGTATAGCGATATTGTCTACGTATTTGAAAAAGAAATATTAAATATGTACGGCATTCGATATGTGCAATATATCGTGTTCTACATATGCAGTTTTGGACAATTGCGAATTTCTACAATTGAAGAAAGGTTTACAAATTGGTTGTGGCGTGAAGTGATTGTGAAATCTAATTCTATAGTACCACCGATTTATCGGCAAACAGCTGTTTGCTATATTTCTAGTCTGCTTGCAAATGCTTCATTCATCTCTCCACAGTAATTAACACATATCTTTGATAATTACATTACGTAAATAATACATCTAAAAAGAGCATATCTAATATTTGTTGTTATCATTTTCTTTCAGATTAGTGGAAACGATGATATCTAAATTTACGCAATGGTTAAACGAATATATCACTTTGCAAGAATATTCGGAATATATTGAGGATTATGCAAAACACGTTGTGTTTTATTCTGTTTGTCAAGCGTTCTTTCATTTATTTGTCGCGAGGTATAAGCATTTTGTATTTGACTTGAAATATGGTGAGTTATTTATACTTGTATAAAAGTAGATTTAACAGCAAGATAAATTTGTATAAACATAATTTTTTTCTTTTCAGAGAAATTTCTTCAGAATCTTTCCCTTTCAATATCCAAAATCGTTACTTGTAAATTAAATCCCTTGAAGATGTGCGATACCAAGATTGTTCACGCTTTTGCCCAAACTACAAGAACATATGGACTAGCCTACTGCGACTCTGTAATCGAATATAATGAGCGCAATCAATTACCCATTTTTGGAATGGAATCCCATTTGTCCGTCACAATTCCTAATTTTTTCCCATTCGAATCTTATACATTAGAACATAGTGGACGAAGAATAACTCCTTTATTTCATAATAATATGGCAAATATTGACTATCGATCAATTAACAAATATGAATAAGGAACAAAGTACATGATTTACATATGTATATAAAAATAAATTATGATGCCACACAAAAAATTTGCTATGAACACACGAAGGATTGCACAATTGTCAAATTTGCTTGCGCAGCATATTTGATAAATATTTTGCATTGTAAATAATTTTTATAGCGAGTATTAAAAAAATAAGTATTTGTCATCTACAAATAATTTTGCGATTCTCATTTGCATGGTATATAATTGGCGTTTATAGCTTTTTCTCTGTGTACATCTAAAATCAGTATATGCAGGTAGATTTTTTTATTTCGATTATTTGTAGGAATTAAAAGATACACAAGAATTACGTAATGCTATTTTTTTTAAGTTGCTACGTTTTATCGAAAAATTATACAATAACTTATTTAATAAAATGTTTTAAAATAATAAAATTTGATTGTGTGTACACTTTATTAATGCTATATCAATTTAAAAAAAAATACCGGATAAACGGAGAAAATTTATATGCTAGAATATTTATTGAAAAAATAAGTTCTGCACTTAATAAAGTTATCCAGATACATCCATTTTAGATGAGACAAATCGAGCTTAAAGGTCAGTCTAGATGAACAGTGCAATGCACTAGAAATTTTTTATGTATTAAGGTTCCACGACAATCGAAATTTCAGAAAAGTAATATAACCACTCAGATTAGCGTGTTAGACGAACGCTCTAAAGTTAAATAATTCTGTTTGATTGTATTTTATTTTTCTGAGATTCCATTTTCCGAAATTCCGACGTAATGAAGAAGCACTCTTAAACTAATCGATTGCTTTTTCCATACATTAATGCCTTCCGTACATTAATTCTAATATACGTATTAACTTTAATCTTGGTTTAACTGACTATCTTTTTCTGTTCTAAGAATTAGAAAAAAACAAAGAATCAATTAAATTAAAATTAAATTTAATCTATATAGGTAGCAATGTACTCCTTATCTTTTTCTCTTTATCTTAACTTTTAGAACTAGAAGATAAAAAATAAATTAAACTTAAATAAAAGTGAATCTAATAATCAATTAAATTAAACTAAACTAATTGTTTAAAGACTCCTTTTATTAATACAAAAATAATAAATATAATCGTGAAGGTTGTAGGAGTCAACATAAAAGTTAATCTATATTGGTAAAAATGGACATAAGTCGCGGAACTTATATTTGGATTGCGAATTTACATGCAGGTTTAAAGTTCGCGATCAAACGGCGTCCCGGAAGTTCGGCGTAGAATAGTTCTGCGCAATAACCGCGCCATCTTTCCCCCCGTGCAACATACTGTCCGTCCGTTCCTCGTTAATCGTAGTGTTAGTGATCGCAACCATCGCATCGCAGCGCGGGGTTCGCCCGTGCGAATGGATACGTAAAATGGCGAGGTGCAGTTGTTATTTACTCTCGCCGAACGCATCCAAGTGAGAGAAAATCGAAGGGAAAACGAGTCAAAGTGCTGAGTACGGTCACTGACTCGAATTTGTTACGGCGTGTTTATACAACACAACTCGTGCGAATGCTCGTGAGTATCATCGTTGTATGTTCATTATTGAGACATATCGGTTGTCCCGTGTAAGTAGAGAAGAAAAGATCAGTATCGTCGTCGCCGTCGCGCTCATCGTAATACGGTTCTCGATCGTGTGTTTTTCAACCAGCGAATTGTCAGTTGCGCCACGCCGTGCCTCTCTATGAGATAACGTGTCAATACCGGCCTTTGAAGCCCCTCCCCGTCCCTATGATTAATCCTTTAATCCATGCGACGAGGTTATGAGATTCCATTTAAGAACAGTTCCGCGATCGATTTTCCCATTTTAAATCGTCGAAAACGTGCCAATTTCTCGTTTATCATTATCGGCCACTTCGCCTGAATGTTCGAAGCTTCCTGTTTATCTTCCATGACGGACATCGCGTCGAGAAGACGAGGAAGCACGATCGCGACTCCCTTTGTGTTCTGGCTTTTAGGTTATGGTCGTCGCGAGCTTTAAATTGTAATCTTTGTCGCGACGTTCCGTTGCTCCCGATCATATTGCTCGATCACATCGCGTCTCTAAAAAATCTTGCACTGGCTCCTGCACTGAGACCGCTGTAGCTCTTAGGTCCGACAACCGCATCGCGTAGCTTTCTTCAACAAGTGTCTTGTGGAAGTTAAATCAGCTTGTCCTAATTACATGTGGCGTCAGATCACTGTAAATATATTGTCAAATATAACACGTTAATGATAACGTTAAGGCATCATCTTCTCACGTTTCCTCACATCTTTTACACAAAGAAATATTTAAATATAAACAATCTATTCTTGTATTCCTTACAGCTGTTCAGTTACTTTAGATCATATCTGTTCATTATGTCGAAAATCAATTTGGTCCATTACTCCATTTAATATTTTATCTCATATTATTCACAATCAGGGTAAACTAATTTTTTTAATCAAATATTGAAATAAATTCATTAAGCTTTGACACTTTTCTTAATTTAAAAATTGTATAATTGATATGAATTCAGTGATCAGAGTCTGTATTCTGTACACACCTATCAACAGTTTTCGGTGTCGTTATGTGTCTCTAGACTTGTTCATGTTGCAAGCTCCTATCATAACTCCTGTTCACTCTAACGAACGTATTAAAGTATTGAAGCATGCGACGTGAATAATTCATCTCTTGTTTCACAGCTTTTTTATCATATATAGCCTATTTTATAATTGTTTAAACATAATTGTAATTTTAATTGTAACAATTGATCAATTACAGTTGAATGAGGAGAGTATTCATTTTCAATTATGATTGATCGATTCTTTCAACTAAAACTGCAATTGTAGAATGGGCTCAAAATATCTGTACAACACATAACGACATCAACAGTTGATAGGCATGTGTAGAATACAGATCAGTTAATTCATTAAAGATCATTTATAATAGAGGCTGTAAGTCGTAAGCCGTGAGACATTGACTAATCGCAATCGAATGTGAAGAAAGTAATTAAGGCCATGATACAAAAAGATTTAAGCAGTAAGCTCAGAAACATAGAAAAATATAAAGGAATAAGATGTAAGCTGTACGCGAATTGGCCAATTATAAGCTGTTTATAATGGAAGTAATATTCTATAGTAAGCCATAAGCTATAGTAAGCAATAAGTAATGAGTTTTCTACAATAAACCATTACCTAAGCTTTTTGAGCCTTAGATCGCAAGAAATTTACCAATAATGACCGATTACAGTCGAATGTCTGTGTTTCTGTGATTGGTCGGATTTCTTCCAGCTTACAACTTACTACATCGTACTTTTTCCATTGTATGTTAAATGCATAGTACTTGATCTCGCAATAGAGGCCGAAATCCACTTGGCTAAAGAAAGTGTTAAATGTGTGCGTCCTCTAAAACGTACACAGTAAACGAATTTGCTAATTACAATAGAAAACCGTAAAGTCATAATGTAAACAGGAACGAATCCAACATGTTGAATCTCTTCTGCTTACATTTTATTGTTTAAATTTTTCTATATATCATATCCTTTAATCAACTATCACATCGATTTTTTATATCTTATGGTATACTATCTTTATTATAAATGGTCCTTTAATGATTGGTACATGCGGATATTATTTTTTTTATTTTGATACTAATATAAAAAAAGTGAAATATATAAAGAATTTTACTTTAGTTCATGGTTTATTTATCATGAGTTACGTATAGTCCAAAAAATTTGTTGGAACGTACCTCGTGATGTAATTTATGTTGTTGCTTACTATATAATTTATTATAAATATATAATTTATTATAACTATATAATTTATTATAAATTATTGTATCTTTTAAGGATGTAGACGCAATGAAGAGCACAGACAATAAGGACAGGAAATTAATAAATTTTAACCTATTAGAAACCATATTCTGACGTAACCGGTAGGTTGAAATCTATTATTCCCTGTTTCTATTGTCTGTGCTTTTCATTAAGTGTATCTAATAGTACAATTACTCACTAAAGAGCTAAATAGTAGTCGAATGTGATTAATTCTTATCTTTAAATCTACTAATCACATGAAGGATATGTTTCATTATTCACTGCGAGTATTGAAAATTCATAGTTCACGTTACATATAAATTTTCAGTACTCATAGTGAATAACGGAACGCACTGAAATTGCTACTCATACCTTGTCCACAACCTTTAAGAGACCGTAAGCTGTAAGAAATTTATCAATCACAGTCGATTATTTTTCTCATATTTAACTATGATTAGTCAATTTTTTAGGGCTGCCGCATATAAAATTCCGTAACATTGACCGTAAGACGTAAACTTAAGCCGATAAGCCAATCAGAATATTGTTTTAGATCTACGTACTCTAACGGAAATAGAAATAGAGTAAACTTATCCATAAGGCGAGTTTCAACCGGTTGAAATTCATCTTATGAGATTATGGATAAGTTTACTGTCATTTCCATTTCCGTTAGATTACGTAGATCTAAAGTAATATCTTGATTGGCTTATCAGCTTAAGTTTACGTCTTACGGTCATTACTGCGGAATTTTGTGTGCGGCAGCCCTCAAGGTTTACTGCTTACGGCCTCTTAAAGCAAGATTGTGAGCAAACATGTTGGATTTGCTACTGCTTACGTTATGGTCTTACAGACTCTATTGTAATTGGTCAATTCGCTTACTGCTTAAGTCTTACGTCTTAAATTTTTTTTATGTGCCATGGCAGTGGCTGACCTTGTCTACAACCTTGCTTAAATCCGGATGTACAATAAATTTGTAAGCCATAAGAAATGGACGAATCACAATCGATTATTCTTTTCACATTTATAATTGGTCAATTTCTTACAGCTTAAGGCCTAAAATATCTATTGTAGATCCGAACTAAATCTTGCGTTTTAAGTTTTTGTATATGCCAAGGCCTTTAATGAGTGATTGCACTACTGGATTTATCTATTGGATGCTTTCCATTTAATGTAACACAGGTCATCACAAATTATTTCATCTTTCTTGGCATTCAATGAATAATAAAGACAGAATGACATTTGTGACAACTTTTGTTATCAAATGGAAAGTGTAGTTTCTAGATCTGTAGTGTCTAAGCCTTAACAAGTGAGCTAGTAATACACATATTTACTATTTTCAAATTTGTTAACATGTTCTTAATAATTAATTGTGTTAGCAATGAGGCTTTTTGTACATAAAATTATATAAAATATATATATAATTCAATAATTCTTGAATAATACATTTATATTTTCTCTTATTAAAATTTCTTTCATAAAACTCTTTGATTAAACAGTTCTGTTTATAATAATGTTTCCTTATGTTAATATTTCAAATTATTTTCTATCATGCTAGTTTGTAAATTTACGTTTGGTAAACAAATTAACACATCTTATGACCCAACTAAAATATATACATGATCGTTGTCATATTATTACTTTTTTTTATTATGATATAAGATATCTTTGAAGCACATAAAGTGTACAAAAATTTATAATTTTTTTGAATCAAAAAAAGATGCGATAGATACATATATTTTGACGATAACGATTAGCAGAATTTGTATCTAGAATGTTGAAAAAAATTAATTTCTATAGGAGACTACTTTAAAAGTTTCCATTAATGTGAAAATATTTTTCCATATTTATTTTTTTATACTGAAGTTTCTCTTCAATAAATGTTAAAGATTATGTATTTTATTTACAAGGGGAATACTAGGTGACGGGGTCAGAGATTTTGATGCGCTTTATACAGGCTGTTCTTGAGCGAAAAAAAAACGATACGTGTCCGGCCGTTTCAGCCATTGGCTCATAATTTCGAAGAAATCGATTTTTTAAATAATTATTGTAATAATTTGAAAAACTTACTGTGTAAATGAAAATATTAGTATCTTTATAAATTTTATTATTAGTTTTAATTACTTTTTGATTGTAATGAAATTTTATGGAATTAACAAATATTAATATTATAGATAATTAAACATACATTTATGGAATATTTATTATTATCAATGTTATCGTAGTAAATTAATTAATCAATTAATATTAATCAAAAGAAGATTACAAACATATATGTGACTTATTTGTCTCTAACCATAATTTTCAATTTCTAATTTCATCAGAAACTGTAACAGTTTTCATTACAGTTTTATTTATGCGTTTATGTGAATAACAACAACGACGGCGATAACAATAATAATAATAAATATTCCATAAATAAGTGTTTAATTATTATCTATAATACTAATATGTAATTTCATGAATTTTCATTACAATCAAAAAGTAATTAAAACAAATAACATTAAATTAAAATGAAATTTATAAAGATACTGATATTTATATTTACACAGTGCGTTTTTCAAATTATTACAATAATTATTTTAAAAAATTGATTTCTTTGAAACTATGGACTAATGGATGAAACGGCCAGACACATATCGTTTTTTTTTTCATTCAAGAACAACCTGTAAAAAGCGCATTAAAATCCCCGACCTCGTCACCTGATGTTCCCCTTGTTAGTATAGAAAAAAGTCGATATTGACATAGGTTTCCTAAAGCGACACCCTCTTATTTCTCAGAAACGATTGCACTTTATTAATAAAATCATGATCTGTTCGGCTAATTAAAGAAATACAAACTTATAGTTCGTATATTTGTAGCTTATTTCTATACTAAATCAACTAAAAACGAATTCTATCATTGCGAAAATAAAATTCTTACGATTTTCTTTTGTAAATTGTGTAGTTTAAATAACAGTGACTATATTATTGATAATATTACGTTATTCTAAATGCTTGTAGTTTCCTAAATCAGTTTTATTTTTTTTTTTTTTTCTTAGTTTTTTCATAATACGATTTTAAATATAAAATTGGGATGCAGCAAAAACCACCACATAAACCGCCATCTATAAATCAGATCATGAGCTAACTTAATTTTTAATAATGTTGCTTTATAGTGTCAAATAGTTCTATTGGAGCTGAAGACAATAGACAATGCATATATAGAATAACTCTTAAAAAACTATCGCGTTACATATTTGCATCTTGCAGAACAGCATAAAATAAATATGCATATAATTCAATAAAAATATTTTATAACGAAGAGAGTGAAAAGATTCTAGAATATATCTTATATACATTTACTTGCAAGTACTCTATGCAGATAATTCCTATAAAAGAAAAAGAATAGAAATACATAGCATTACTGCCTACTGTGTCAGTTTTGGAGCCTATTTTATCAAACACTCTCTCTCTCTCTCTCATTTTTACAAAAAAATTAATTATTGCAAAATTGCAAACAGTATTATAAAAACTGCTTATATCTATTATCTGATGGAAGACACTTTTTAGTTTGTACTTATATTTTTAAAATTTTATTTTTATCTTTTGTTTAAGAAATATTGTCTAAAAACAAAGTGGTATGTCGATATCGATGACTTTCTTCTATACATATATATGTATGTGTGTGTGTTTTGTGTGTATGTATATATAAACATTTTAGAATTTCTGATATAATTTTACATACGTTTACTATAAAAAAATTCGTATACTTTACAAATACTTAAATACAATTTGATTCCAGTTAAACAATATAATTTTACAAACGTGATTTTGTTATATGTGCTTTGATAATACAGCATTTAAAGTCTACTTTACACAACACTACATTATTTTTATGTGTTATCAAGTCTTTACGCTGTTCAGTTTATTTCTATACAGTGTATTTCTATATTATTTCAACATTATTTTCTCAACAATTGTATTGTTCGATATATTTGCTTACCTTTTGAAATGATAAAAGTCGAATATAATTAGTTATTATTTTCCATAGGTTGTACCGCATAAATACTAGCAGATTCCTCTACAGACATGATATTGATGGATTGATCTAAATCAATGTATTAGCACAATCCAATTTTGGTCTTTATTAATTGAAAAAGGATCATATTTGCTAACACCTAAGTTTTGAATAATATGGATACACATTATTATAATGTTGTGCATAATGCCAGTGGTACTTTCACATTAGAAGAAGTACCAAGAATCTGTACTGCAGACGGCCAACATATTCAGTTTGTTGTTGAGGATGTTAGTGATAGCAGTAATGGTTCACAACGGCTTGTGACTTATACTACTGCACCACAAAACAGGCAGGCAATATTAACCCCGCAAACTATTAATTTAGGGAATCAAATATCTACGACGCGATTGGAACAAGGGTAACTTATACAGCATGCATTTTCAATTGCTCGAATTGTACCGGGATAGAGTAGAAAAGCTCTAAGCTTTTGATATTTTAGAAAAAATATATAGATTCAAAGATTTAATAATAAATTTGTTATAATTTTAAATATCTCTTAAAAAAACAAACAGTCTAGAGTGTCGATGCTGGTTGTAAGAGATAAACTTTAATGGTTCTAAAATAATATAAATATCTTAATCTGTAAAACGTGTCTTGATATTTTAAATGTTATATATAATGGGCCATACATTTTGAGATTAAGATGTTTGGGTTTTTAAAGTGTATAATAACTTTTCGAAAATTCATAGAAAACGCACTTAATTTGATAACACTTTTTACATATGCGAATGTTTCCATACGTATCAGGATTGTATAATATGGAAGTAATTTTCCTTATATATCAGGATTGCATAACATTATTGTAACAGATGCTTCTTAAAGTAGTCTTCTATTATTCTATTGAACATAACATACTATACATATATGTAAATATATATGTATATGTGAATATATAATTGTGTTCTAAATATGATAAAGATAGTAAAAAATATCTATATTTTGGATTTTTTATAAATTTAAATATAAAATATAAAAAAATATATATATATTTTAAACGTAGTAGTATATAAGTAATAGCAGTGTATATTTAATTTTATTTAATTCTGTTTTATATAATACAATTTCATAACAAAACTGCAAAAATGTTATAAAGAAATTAATCCTTAGTACATATAATTGGATCATTCGTGTTCTGCGTATTTCTTCTTTTTTAGTATTAAGAGTACCAAGTTATTAGTTATATATAATTTTTTAAATATAACGCTACAAATTAAGAGTACCAAGTTATTAAGTTATATATAATTTTTTAAATATAACGCTACAAATAGTTTTTAAAGGTGTTAAAGTATATATAAGAAATACTTAATTTTTAAAAAGTGTAAACAAGAATTGTTAAATAATTTTCATATATATATATACTTGTAAAAGTGATGAAAATTAATCCAGAATACGAACAACCCATCATGTGTAATAAACGATTGGAAAATCTTCGTATGTATTAAGAGTTAAGAATACAATAAACTTTTTAATTTTTTTATTGTAGTTATTATATTTATCTCATCTTTTATGATATTACATTCACATTTATGTTTTTGTTTAACTTTCGATTTTTATGAGGATAAGAATTTGAATAATTCTTTCTTCTATTTGTTCAGAAAATTGAGTGTTTTATACTTTATGTAAGTTTTTTCTTTGTACGCGTGTGCCTCAAAGAAAATATTACTAAAAAGTTTTGTACTATAAATCTGTTTATACTAATTTATTGATTATGGTGTGTTGTGTATGTATGTGCGTTTTTGTGTATATATATAGAATTTTTAAGACAAAATGCAGATATTACAAATTAATAAAATACAAATTGAAATTAAATATACGTGTATTTATGAAATAGAAAATAAATCAGAAATAATTATTAGAATGTGAACGATAATTAAAGAATAATATTATATATTTGATAACAATCCATCCTTAACATGTGTGGCCTATGAGCGATCTTTTGTGTTAGTGGTTATTCTAATTCTATTTAAGTTTCTTAATTTATCGAATATTTTGTATGTGAGTTTAAATTTTAATCTAGCACACAAATATTTTTTCTTATTAGAAACGTTAAGTATTTAAGAAAAAATATTATTAGATGTATTCGATACAGTTTATTCTTAAAAAGAAAAAGAAAGATTAATATTAAAA